TCACTGAGCTCGTATGGTACCAAAAGACTTTTTCAAATGGGTCAAAACTCAAAACTGATTTGTGTCATAAATTTATTATACTACTGCGTATGGACCGGGTCATTGCACAAACAAAATGGCACCGACTCTTTGGTGCGAAAATGTTTATGGAGCACCATATGCGTGCCGTGCGTCCGTGCAGTGCTTCCACTTTTAGATATTTTACACTATTTTAGGGTAAATCTACTAATATAGTAGGTAGGGCTTTAGGCGTTTCTTCAAATTGACAGGGTTTTGGATAATTTGGGGTGAAGTCGAACTTCAGGAAACCCTGTTTTCTATACCCACCCAATGTAATTTTTTTAAGATTTATCGAAGGTCAAAAGAGCTGGATAAGTGTAAAATGAAAAAGTTTTTCATTCTGTATATCGGAATAATGGTATAATATTTTACTTAGTTACAAATTCAATACTCCTATGAGACTGTTATTATAATTTGAAAATGGGGACATCTTCTTCATCACAATACTCAAGAGTTTTAATCGTGAAATGATATCCGAAATTTGCAACGATGTTGTTCTTTAAAATATTCAAAATGAGGTGCAATTAAAATAAGTCTATTTAGGCTTTTTTACGATATTTTACGATACGATTACGATTACGATTTTTAAGGCATTTCTACAGATTCTAAGGTAAAACTAAAATCATAAGTGAAAACACTTGTTCCGTGGTTGTTCATGAGTATTTAAGAGATGGCGCTGATGTATTCTCTGCTTAAGCCGTGAAAAATTTTTGTTCGCACGACCATATCTTGTCATTTATATCGATGTTTTGTGGTCATTTTTAAATTCGTCGGCTATGTCGTAAACTCCTAATATGGCAATCTTGCTCCACTTTATGAAAAATGGCATCGACTTTATCCGTATGAGGGCGAACAGAGCAAGCTGCAACTTTGACATAAAAATCTTTGACTTAAAACACTTGAACCAAGTCAATGACTTGAACCAACTTTGTGCTACTCTTACTAACACTGCATTATGTCCATAATTGTCACAAATTTTGTCGCGGCTTGAGTCGCATTTTTCCCTTCTTTGTAATAAAACTTCAGAATGTATTGAATTTCTTCGTTAGATTCACTCATTTTGGCGGACAGAAAAATAATTTTATATGGCAGGAAAATTTTTTACTTTTATTTTTCTTTTTTTAATATCCTATATATATATTGATAATATACCAGAATAATATAAACAGTACAACCAAAGAGATTTTTCTTCAACTTTTTACAAACAAAATACGAATAAACTTTTTCTCCGACCTATTATTAAGTGTGTTACTTTGTCATTGCATAAATATGTATTTTCTACTTTGCTGGGAAAATCTCTACAATAAAGTTTCTTAATTACCCGTTTATACTTTAATATAATCCTTTTAAAAGCATTTTAAATATCTCAAAGATCCTTTGTCTATTTTGCTTAAGTAAACACCATTAGGCACTAATTATTTTATTTAACAGCTACAAGGTAAAACGAGGTTTCTATGAACTGAATAAATTTAAGCTCGTAAACGATTGAAAGACGTTGAAATCCTACTCAAGCTTTGTAAACGAATAATAAATCTAAAAGAGGCGAAATCGGCCCAAACGTCGGGCGACGCGTTGACGAATCGAAGCAACCTGGCAACCTGGGATTAGTTGCTAGGCAACAAACACCAACGCATCTGTGTTGCCATAGTTTAAATATTAATTATTTTAATAATAAAGAAAATAATTTCTATTTTTCCATTGACAGAATGTACCGAATTTGGTTATTCGTATTTCCTGTAAATCATTATTGTTTCATTTTCATTTCAGTGTTGTATCATTATTTCTTATGCTAGGTGATATTACTTTTTTTCTGCTGAATCCGTCTGAGTATATAAGTATACAATTTACTGATGTGCATAGCCAATATTACAGAAATATTTTTGTCCCACAGTAGTTCGGAGGATTTGCCGCTATCAGTTTCGCAGGCGGATAAGCAATCAGGGTATCGACCGTCTGTACCTTTTCCGCTACTTCATATCTCCAGTCTGAGAATTTTATATCTATTTAAATGTGTCATATTAAAACAGACTACTCTATCTACTCTATCTTAGAGGCTTTTTCCACATTCTCCACCTACGACACTGACGACAACTCGCAAAAAGGCAATTTAATTACTCAAAGAACTTAAGTCTCAAAATGTCAACATGTTGCTACACACTCGTATATTTTACTTTTTTTTCTCTCACCAATTTGGATCCTTGAAGAATATTAAAAATACAGCATGTAACGTTGCAAGTCAGTCATTTCACACCGGCTGAAAATCTTACTAAAGCTTGTTCTCTTTTAACTCTTAAGATATTTGACCGTCAGCTACGTCTGCAGTTATGGTACGTATCAATAAAAATGTTGAATTCGTAAACAATAATTGACACATGGTAATGTTTCAAGTAATTAATTTCATACCGGCTGAAAATCTTACTAAAGCTCTTTTAACTCCTAAGACATTTGACCGTCAGCTACGTCTGTAGTATGGTAGTAGCAATAAAAATGTTGAATTCGTAAACAATAATTGACGCATGGTAATGTTGCAAGTAATTAATTTCATACCGGCTGAAAATCTTACTAAAGCTCTTTTAACTCCTAAGACATTTGACCGTCAGCTACGTCTGTAGTTTAGTATCAATAAAAATGTTGAATTCGTAAACAATATTTGACACATGGTAAGGTTGCAAATAATTAATTTCATACCGGCTTAAAATCTTACTAAATCTCTTTTAACTCCTAAGATATTTGACCGTCAGCTACGTCTGCAGTTAAGGTACGTATCAATAAAAATGTTGAATTCGTAAACAATAATTGACGCATGGTAATGTTGCAAGTAATTAATTTAATACCGTCTGAAAATCTTACTAAAGCTCTTTTAACTCCTAAGATATTTGACCGTCAGCTACGTCTGTAGTGATGGTATGAAGCAATAAAAATGTTGAATTCGTAGACAATATTTTACACACGGTTATGGTAAATAATTCTTGGTTTTATTTTATTTTACATGAAATTTTAATATGTTACTGTATTTTTTTTAAGTATGCGGTTACGATATCGGGTTAAGTGGGTCTATTTGACTGTAGAGTCATGCTGTAGCTGTATTATAGTCGTTACACGTCGACTCGACCGGGGAAGGATCACGCTTTTACAGAATACCAATGTTAAATAACAGCTTAACGCTCCTATTTCATGTAGTGAGTGTAGAGAACCGGTCCCCTTTCAGTGGATATGCGGCATTCCATCATATTCCTCAGGTATGCCAAAGCATCTGCATATTGGTTCTTAATCGAGGATAGACGTAGGATAGATGTCTATGGGACACATCAACCACTTACCATCAGGTGGACTGTGTGCTCATCTGTTCAAAATCAACTGATAATATATAATTTTATTTAAATAACAAATAAGGCCTTTTCTTTTTTATTGTATTACAACAGCTAATCGAAGTAAATAGTTTTGTATTTATGATATTGCTGGAGTTCTGTAAGAATAATAGTTTATATTAATAATACCGCTATGGAAAATTAAAAAAAAAGTGTGATTTAGTGCGATTATTTCTGCTGTCTACCTTAAAAGTTTTTTACATTATTTATTTTGAAAAAAATGTAATCTGACTTTTATTGAGTTTGAATTAAATTGTGTTGGATGTGACATATTAGAGACGGACTAAATCAAGGACTAATAAAGAAAACTCTAGAGCCCTTAGTAAAGTAAAAAGTAAAGTTACAGCCTATATACGTCCCACTGCTGGGCACAGGCCGCCCCTCATTTCTGAGAGGGTTTTAGGGCAAGGAAGTGTCCGCCCCGCTGCCCCAATGCGTGTTGGCGAACTTCACATGTCTTCGAAATATTTTTTTTCTTATTCCTCAGACATGCAGGTTTCCTCACGATGTTTTCCTTCACCACCGAGCACGTGATAAATCAGCACTTAAAATTGCAATTAACAATTTCCTTGGTGCCGGCGGGGATCGAACCCGGGTTAGTCGCATTCTGTTATATTTACAGCGAGCGTTAACCATCTGAGCTACCACGGCTCAGAGTCCTCTAGAGCCCTTAAAATGTATAAATATATCAAAAGGACCTCCAAAAATCGGACATATTAAAATAATTCCATGTAGTTATATGAAGCCATAAGAGAACCTACTCTCCCATACCATCTACTTATTAGTAAGAAGCTACAAAGGGAAATTAAAACAGGAGATTTACAGCAGCATTCTTTTTTATAGAATAATGGTGACAAACGAGCACACAATCCACCTGACGGTAAGTGGATGCTGTGGCCCATAGACGTCTACATTTATCCTCGATTAAAGACGCAGATGCGTTGTCACCCCTGAGGATTAAGATAAAATGCCTCGTTTCCAGTAAAAAAGGGTCTCCGTTTCTCTAATCTCACCATACGAAACACTGCAGTATTAAGCTGCTATTTTACTCTGGTATTCTGTGAGAGCGTGGTGCTTCCCCGGTTGAGCCGACTCATTCGTGCTACAACTAATATAGCTGCAGCGCAGCTCTACCACGTATCTAGGTACGTGGTAGAGCTGCGCTGCTTTCGTAGGTGCGTGGCTCTACCTCGTACCTACGAAAATCAAATCTATTGTATTAATTCCGTGCAGTAATGTGAAGCCGTAAGAGAATCTACTGTCGCATATCATCCCGTGGTTGTTGGAAGCTACAAAGGAAAACAGAAACATAAGACCGTAGCATTCTCTTGATAACAACCGAATTTAATAAAAACACTGCGATTTCTAACCCGCCTGTTAAGCACGGTTAATATGTAAAGTATCCACGTAAGAGGCACTATATGGTGGGGACCTATCTTCAGTAGCAAACTTTGATAGGGTATAATAATGGTAACGATTATCAAATAGGAAGTTCATCTACCACGCTAAAACCAATAAGTATTTGTCGCGTATATCACTTTATTCTACTCGTACCTTACACTCGTAACGTACATGGTAAGCTTCTGAATACATTATATTAATTATGATTGTTTGTGTTCTCACCCTGAAACTATCTTTCTTCATCAGCCCGGGTCCCTCCTACACAAGAGAAGATTTGCCATAATTGTCACTATTTTGTACGTGAATTTGGTGCGGATTGCGATTTTATATTCGGTAGGCGGATTGTCAATCACAATATAGTCGCGCACCGTGGACGCTGTACCTCATTACCGTCTGTATCACCTGGCGCGTTATTAACCCTGGGTATGTTCCAAAATAGAACCCAGTGTACTGTCTAATGCAAATGATGCCATGAATCGACGCTACACTGGTGATTCGTTCCAAAACATATGACAGTAATTGACGTCATACATTTGCGCCATATTGGAAAAGTGTTGGCGATTATTTTGTCATTTTGTGCTCCCAAAATTCATTATTTCTTCCTAATGGAGATACCAGCAATTATTGTATAATTTTTTGTATTTGAATAAATAAAAACAAATTCTGCATTGAATAAAACTATTATTTACGGATTTTATCGCGTTTAATTACTTTTCTTATTACTAATTATCAAACAAAACACACAATCTTGCTCCCCCATTTGTAAACCACAAATTCTGAAGGTTGAATAGCCGGACTATATGAATTGGGACATCTCTCCCCCCCCCCCATGAATGCACCCGAAACAAAAAACAACAGTAGTGTTCGCGTAAATTTAAGAAATCATTAAATTCTGGCATGCTTCATTCAGTGCACACACAATTAAAAATTATTTTATTTTGGCCGGATATCCGACACAATATGGCGGCGGCACGCCAGTACAATACATTGTCAATTGATGACGTCATTTGTGTTCGGCAGTATACTGAAAACGTTTCGGAACATACCACATAGCGACGGTCAAAATCTTTTTTTGGGTACCGTTACGGCCTATTCAAGTCTACTGTGTCCTATAAAATATCCTATCACAGAGGGATATATGCCATAGTTACCACACTTGGCAAGCGGTTTGGCAACCAGAGTTTTTTATTTTACTTATTCCTAATTTTATTATATTATTATTCGGAAGTCGCCTATTACGACATCCACGGGATGATATGAGATAGTGGATATTCTTATACCACCAGTACACGATACCGAGGGGATGAAATGGTGTGGTGCATCCAATTGTGCCGTCATCACATGATATCAGGAATCCTAACCTACCTTCGTGTTTGCGCGTAATTTGTGGCATTTACTGTATGATTGGTAGCTTCCAAAATGTATTTGAAATATGAGGACTAAGATAAACCAGTAAAAATCTTTACGTGATAGAGCTATGCTGCAGCTATATTACTGGTATAGTTGTAGCATGAATGGGTCGGCTTAACCGGGGAAGGACCACGCTCTCACAGAATACGAGCGTGAAATAGTAGCTTAATGCTGCTGTATTTCGTATAGTGAGTGTAGAGAACCGGAGACCCTTTTTACTGGAAACGAGGCATTCCATCTCAGTCCTCACGGGTGACAACGCAGCTGCATTTTGTTTTGTAATCGAGGATACATCATGTAGATGTCTATGGGCCGCAGCAACCACTTACCATCAGCTGGAATGTGTGCTCGTTTGTCACCCTATCCTATAAAAAAAGGGTCTAAGGTTTTTCTACATTTCCCATAAAACACAGCAGCTTTAAGCTGCTATTTTACGCTATAACTCTGTAAGAGCGTGATCCCCGTCGAGCTGGCCCATTTGTGCTGTAACCAAAATAAAGCAACTGTGTGCCTCTACCATGCTAAAACATAATTATTTCAGAGATCCTAAGTTAAAACAGAAATAAGATATGAAATATTATTTGTCTTTTTTTTTCAGGACATCGACTTCGAAGGTTTCCGGTGGTTTCTGGACACATTTCTCGAAGTATCAACTCCTGATGAACTCTCCAGGTTTGACTTTAACTTTACCTGTATCACAAAAAATATAATCTTCAACGTAATAAAGTTTTTGCATTCCGCAAAATTCTATGAAGATAAGTATAATTAATGTGCCAATTTTTGTTCAAACTGTCATGCAAATATCGTATTCTTTATCTTAAAATTTCACACGTTTCACGGTCATAGAAAATAAAAATAAAGAAAAGAAATGAGTGCTAAGTCAAAGCCTTAGGGTAAGACTACTGTAGAGAGCGTTTATTCACGCCCACCACATTGGCATTGAATAAAACTTATTTGGACGATTGACTTATTTTCTTATGTCGACATCATCTGTGTTATTCTTTTGTATATCATAATCTTATCTATTATATAACACGTCCTAAAATAAATAGTTGAATGTTTATTAAAGAAATAAAAGAAATACATAATATTGATTTATTAATTTAAATTTACGAGCACTTGTCCTAATTTTACCTAATTTTTGTTAGGGTGGCCAGTCTTAAGTCTTGATTGAGACTGGCCATCTGTTCAGGGCAGAATTATAGTACATGAGTAAATGCGCAAATATAAGAGTAGGTGCACTCTCTATTCCATCACAATCATAGTCTAACTAAAATTGTGCGGCAATACCACGTGACCGGAGAGAGAGGTGCAACGCCACAATCTTTCTGTCTCTGGGTTGCTACTACTCGTAGGAATTTCTTTTCAGGAAAACCCAATAACTGTTTTATAACAATCCGCGGGATTTGGATCCGGATTCACGATACTAATCGACGACGCATTCAAGTGTTCCTTTATCTAATCTAATAAAACGAATTTCACAGGTTTTGAATTACCAACCTTTTTTGTAAGGGATGAGACTAGCAACTCTGTTTTTTTTTTGTTTGATGTACAATATTTTTTTAAATAAGTAAATTCAAGCATCATATCTTTAGACCCTTCGAACTTAACTTTAAAATTTAAAAAGTTTACTTCATTGATAAAATCAACAAGGTTTAAAAAAAACATTTTTAAAGGTACCCTTCATTTTTGAAATCAGTTAAAAAGTGAATGCTCATTGCAGACACTTGTTTCTGTCGTTCGTTCGGAGGGACAAGAGGCCGGCGCTCCGCGAAATGGCGGCTGCCAGTTCCACTACGGCTTGTGCACCCGTTACTTCACACGGCGACCATCAGGTATATCTATTTCCGAGCGTAAAATTACGTTTATAGGACAATGATTTGCAGAGCGATAAGACTTTTACAACATTACTATAATTTGAACTTCGAATTTTTAAAACCGCGTAATAACGATCGCCTGCTAAAATACGGTTTTTATTATGAATTATTATTTTTCTAAATATTGTTATTTTTTAATAACAATACATTTTAATGTCCTATTTGCGAGAATAGCCTATTTCTAAAACAATCTCTACTGGTCCAAAACCTTACGAAGACTTAATGTTTTTTTAGAAAATTTTGTCGTAATTTGCCCTACTAAAGTTTACTTAAGAATTATCTAATAACTGGGTATAACTGAGTAAACTTACACCGAGATCTTTTCCCGTATTTGAAATAAGTAAGGAAGCTATTGCGTTTTAATTTCCCATTTAATTTCATCTTATTTGTAAAACCAGATACAAGGATATAGATAATTATGTTCTAGGGAAAATTAAGCTTGGCTTCGAAAATCCATGGACTGGCTGAACGATTACAACAGCTGGGTAAAAGTTCCGGAGACTCTGGTGATGGAAGTGAAAAAGGATCAAGAAGCCGTACTGGTAAGCTCTGTTATTAATTTTCCCAAATTGCGCAAATTGTTTCGAAATTTTCTTAAGTACCACTCGACATTGTTAAGATGAAGTTCTTATATGATAAATTAAATAGGCACAAATCTTAATAACTTTGCCTTTGCCTTAAATTCCTATTCCTATTAAAAAAAACGTTTGTGAGGTGATGGAAAGCTAAAAGAGCAAAAAATAAAACAGAAAATCAGCACTTAAAATTGCAATTAACAATTTTATTAGTGCCGGTGGACCCAGGTTGCTTGCGTACTTTGAAATTTAAACTGAGTTCTTAGTCCATGAGCTACCGTAGACGTACTATACGTACTATCGTTAAAAATTAAGATCCTCTGACCAGAGAATTATTAGCTTATTCGATCATTAATTCCGAAGTCACCCAGTGTTTTCTTTTCTCTTTTTAATTTACAGGTATAATGCATTTGCTTTATTCTTTCTAGGGAGCGTACATCCAATGTTCTCAGTGACCACGCACCCTTCATACTCATCTCATGAACTTTGCCTGGATCGACGAAACGAAACCAGTCCTAGTCACAGTCAAATGTCTAGAAACTCCAGCAGGAAGAGCAGTAATTCGCTTCGTGTAAATCAATCTACTAAAATTGAAGGTAACAATATTAATTTCGACGCGTACACACCGTACATCTGTGTCCCTGGGCGGTTCTCGACGCCCAGAACATCGAACGATACAAGTTAAGGTCACAGCTCATTAGAGCCACCCGGCACCCGACCCTCACCGCCTCGTCACAGGCGTCCACTCGTAGTGGACAAGTGGACCACGGGTGGACGCCGCGTTGTCACCAGTGAACCTCGCATGGTCATCGAGTGGACCTCGCGTCGTCAACGAGTGGACCTCGCGTGATCATCGAGTGACCCTTAAGTCTTACAATAAATTATACTTCCGAAACTCTTCTATAAGTTTTTCTTTGTTCATTTTAAAAACAAACAACAATGCGTCAGACACATTCGAAAGAACGGCTCGAAATGAAAGGTTGGTGGAGAGCACCGCATCGCACTCGCGTGAACCGCGTGTTGCCAGCTCTCGCTTCACGTGAGGCAAGCATGCCAACAGCGAGCTATCATCGAGTGGTCCACTCGCAGTCCGCGCGTGGACACCTCGCGTGCGGGGCGATCCGGTGATGGTACGGAGTTGATGTAGTGAGCGAAGGCCCATACAAATCCATATGAAGAATACGAACCGCTCGAGGCGAGGCGGTGAGGGTCGGGTGTCGGGTAGCTCTTATGAGCTGTGACCTTTAGCCGTCAGAGCCGGGGCCCGCCACCCTCTACTACGGTTGTTAGATTACTCTCCCAGGTGCACTGTACATTATCATCATAGGAGTTATCATTACGCAAGTAACGATGCACAATGATTTAAATTCACCTTTTTACAGGAGAAAGGCCAAAAGTTTAACAGCGTTAACACTATTAGATACCCGACAATATTTATAGATAGGAGATAGTCCATTTCAGGCCCGGTCTATGTACACTATACTGTAAAAAGCAAAAAATTCAGGGATCTTATTAAAAATAAAATCAGAGAATAAATCAAACTAAATGCCTTGCTAAAAATAAAAATACAATCCCAATTTTTGATGATTTTACAAGATGGCGCTCTTCCAGTTATAAAATTATATGTAAAATGTCATGTCTGAAAAGTGACTAGAGTCATGAAATAATGTAGGTAGTGTGACTTTTTTTATTCCGAGCTTGTTTGTGAACTCGTGAATGCGTTTATTGTATTTCTTTTGGATTTCTTTGGCAATTTGTTTTTTTTTATTTGGACTTTGGATCAGTTATTACTTATATGACTCGGCTTTTGTTTTATGGACTTCACGATTTACGTGAGATTTTGATTTCATTGATATCTGACATCTGTAGAATCACATTTTGAATCACTGGACGTTACGACAGTGGACAGCTACTGTCAAAACGACATCAAATCGCCATTAGTGTTGCAGTTTTTGGTAAGAATAAAATATTAATATCACCGAAATAAAGGCTAATTCGTGGATTTGAATTACCAAAAGTGGTGTAACATATTAATTTAATTTATTTCCCTACTTGTACAAAACCAGGCCTACGCTTCATACAAATTTGGACCGTCTCCTTTAGGAAATGTAATGGAATAAATAAATTAATTTAATAAATTTATTAAATAATAAATTTCCTATTTATGACACACCGCCACCATACGGCAATAAAGTAATATTTTTAATTCCACTGCTTCAAATATCCACTGCTGAACATAAACCTCCACTATAGATTTTTATTTATACAATTTTCGGAGTTTATATACTTACTCCTTAAGAATCGTTTCATACATAGTGCACGGTATGAAAAATAGATGGGTAGTAAAATAAATCGTTAGCAAAAAGTGAAGCCGTTATGGTTTTCCTCTGCGCAATATACTCGTGCATCCTGTAGCGTGCAATGAATAATGTAATATGTTATATATTTTATGAAATCAATATAAATAAATATATGGGTTCATTTATATACTTCCTTTGCCTATTATTTTTCAAAAGTAAGTCACGCGTCGAAGCTGACATGCACAATATTTTTTTCATTTTGTACATATGGCTTACAACAGTTAACTTTCACGACATCTTAAATAACAGAAAAGTTTCTTAAACTAAGTGTAGTGATTACTTACTAGTAAATACAGCACTATAACAATGACTTAAATAAGTTTTAATTAAAAGTTAAGAATTATAATAGAACGTAGTTTATCCCTATGATAATAGAATACAGATTACACAAATTGGTTGCAGGAAATGAAGTACTAGCCATACTGATTAGACAGTTTCATAAGGGAGAAATTAAAAAATCACATGTCCATAAGGGATATCCAGATAGGTGCCGATTCTGTTTCTTAACAGAAGATACACCTCTGCTCATCCTAAATGATTGCGAACTCTTCATGCGAAAACGTAAAACTAATCTGGGAAACTACGTACTTAGCTCAGAAGAGGTGAAAATGCTCACAGCTAAGCAACTTCTTCAACTTTTTTTATAGAAAAATGGTGACAAACGAGCACACGGTTCATCTGATGGTAAGTGGATGCTGTGGCCCATAGAAATCTATATCTAAGAATCAAAATGCAGATGCGTTGCCACCCCTGAGGACTAAGATGTAAACCCTCGTTTCCATTAAAAAGGGTCTCGCTACCATACGAAACACAGCAACATCGTGCTGCTATTGTGAGAGTGTACGTCCTTCCCCAATCGAGTCCACTCTTTAGTGCCACAACCATAATATAGCTGCAGCATGACTCTATGACGAAGACATAGGATTTAGCAGTGACCTATAACAAAATCTCAATAGATCTACTGGTCGTCAAACGATGACAGAGGATTATGCTCTAGACGAAGACATAGGATTTAGCAGTGACCTAAAGCCATAGCAGTAATCTCAATAGATCTTACTGGTCGTCGTACGACACCCACAGGAGGGAATGAGGTGATGAATCTCTTTTCCCGCAATAAATATTTTTTTAAATAATGAATTTTACATGAATTTTTAATCTTTACGGATTTTTGTTACAGACTTCAAACATTTAATGCGCCGTCCGTCGACTTTAGAAGTACATACCGCCAGGGTATCTTTAAAGGATATAGTATGTTATCTGTCGTTATTAGAAGCTGGACGGCCAGAAGATAAATTAGAATGTAAGTATACGAATCGGCAATGTCATCCTTTCATACTATAAAACTAAAGGAATATTGTACGTTTTCGAAGATAAAAGAAACGAATGAAACCGAAATCATTTAAGGAGACATTAAATAATACTATTTATTTTTATTTGTATTTATAATTCACTTGTCAGGTATTTTAACATACCTAGCAAGTGAGTAAGCGACAGCCGTACTCGTCACATGAATTTAGAAACTGCTATCTGTCAACATACTGGATACATAAGGCCTTCTTTTCTTTCTTTAAAAAAATACTTAAGGAATTAATTAGATATCTTTAGGGCAAGAGTGAATAGGCTTTTGTTAAGTCAGTGTGCTTCACCATCTTATATATATATATCACCATTTACTATCAGGTGGGATTGTAATTAATAAATTAATGTGCTTAGAATAATATTTTTTAAACAATTTTTCTTGAACTGTAGGGTTTTCCATACATATAGTTGTTCTGTGCGAATAACTAAGCCGCGGCTTACACCACCGCAACAAAAAGCTTATACCCTGCGATAACAAGCTTCCAAAATCACTGACGTGATGATTCATTCATTCATTCATTCATGACAGCTTATTAAATGCCCACTACTGAACATATGCCCCCCTAAGGATATTGCCGCTAGGAATATTTGCCATGGTTGTCACGTTGCTGCGGGTTGGCACTGCTGCTAGGCGAAGGAGGATCACAAGAGTAGATCTCTTGTGATCCCTCCTTCGCCTATTATAGCCAATTTACACTTCGACAAGTACAGTAGCGAGTTTAGTTACAGGGCAGTTGACGGTTAAGTGTACAGTAGCGTTCAAATGTCTTCGTGGACAGTTTAGTAAAAAAAAGTACAATTTTATATTTTGAGGGTTGAATGCGAACACGTTGCGTCCTGTTAACTTATGCACTAAACTAAACTCGCTCGTTCACACGAGCGGCGAGTTTAGTTGCGGGTGACGGAAAACACTTCGAACTTAACTCGTCAAAAAATGGCCCGGCCGGCTATCCTGTTCAACTTAATTGTTAACCTTCTACTTAACTCACTAATTGCCGTTCAAACGAGATTTTCTACTTAACTCGCCAGGTTTGCTAGTAAACTCGCTACTGTACTTGTCGAAGTGTAAATCGGCCTTTACGATACATACGAGACGAAATGGGGATGTACTTACATACATGGAAACTACACTGTGTATTACGACTAATCTAACTTAATAATTTTTAAATAATTCTTTTGATGCTTATAAAAAGAACTCGTAGTTACACAATAACATTGACGTGTTTCAATAGTCATGTTCCGGTTATACGACACCGATGGCAACGGCGTGCTGGACACCAACGAGATGGACTGTATTGTCAACCAAATGATGACGGTGGCCGAGTATCTCGGCTGGGAGACTTCAGAGCTTAGACCGGTTAGCGCTTTTGTATTTTAAAACCTTAGTGATCATTTTTAAAATGGTTTATTTTTTACTTGCTTATTTAGAGCAATCCTTATTCGTTTTATGAGAACCAATTTCGCGCTAGAGAAATTATGTATTTTTTTAATAGGGTAGGGTGACAAAAGAGGTCGTAGTCCACCTGATGTTAAGTGGTTGCTGTAGCCCTTAGACATCTAGATCAATTCTCGACTACGAATTAAAATGTACGGACTAAGATGGAATGCGTCATTTTCAATAACAAGGGTCTCTAGTTTTCTACACTCACCATACGAAACACAGCAGCTTAAGATGATATTTTACGTTTTTATCTTTGAAGATCACGTTATTGGTGGCATTTTGTTCTTCATTTACAACTAGCGGTCCCGGCTATACCTATCGGACAGGATCTATTTATGTGCAATATTAAGATTTAAAATTTATCCTATTTAAAATCCTAGGTAACTTTTTATCTAAGCAAGTTGGGCTTGCACCATAATAACGAGGTACCAATACGACTTACGGACTTTCAAGAAAAGACCCTGGGCCATTCTAAGGGCAGTGTTGCCCTTGCGTTTATTAGTAATTGGTAGCAATGTTTTCTTATATCTACTAGGTTGATCAATATGCTTTCTATTTTTTTAGAATTATAAATTCGTTAGTAGGCCAGAAAAAAATTAAAAACTACGCCCACTTTTTTAAACTTTAAATTTGGTGGGAATTTTATTCATATGCAAAACGGAGAAACTCGAAGTTCGTTTGGTTATTAAAATGAAATTGTTAAATAAATCGACGTGTGACCATCCGTTATTTAGCTGAGATTCTAAAGCTTTTCTTTGAGCCAATTCATTATATTTTGTCTCATACCATAAAATTAAAAAGATGACCACGCGCTGGGTTTCTTGAATGTTAACAGACGCCCAAAAGAAAGCAAGAGTTGACTTTAAAGCCAAAAGCAATAATTGAAGAAGATCCAGATTCCTTTATCGCTTGTTTCGTAACCGTAGCTAAAATAACATAAAAAAAAAAAACAAAAGCCAGATGTGGAAACGACCGTTTTACCTGCCAGCCAAGAGAGTTAAAATGTCTGAGTCTACTGGAAAAATAATTGCCTCTGTCCTTAGTAATTCGGAAGGCATAACAATGATCGACTATTTAAGTAAAGGAGAGACAATAACCGGCGAATGTTACGCACCATTATTCAAACATCTACGCGAAAAACAATAGACTAAACGTCGAGAAAAAGTGCGTGACGGAATGCTTTTTCATCATGATTATGTATTATTCGCCCATCGATTTGATGCACTTATCTTAAGCACGCAATGAGACGCGTTTCCAAAAACTTATTGATCAACCATGGAATTAGCCGTATGCTGCTACTATTTTATAAAAGAAAATTTTAAAAACTTATCTTTCCAAGCTCTCCGTTTATAAAAATGTTCTTAGATCGATTATGTAAAAAACTGGAGGCGTAATTAATTTAATGAATATAGATCCAAACTTACCGAACAATTTACGTGCCTAAAGTTATAACACCTCACTACAAATTAGCATTTGTAATATTTTATTTTAATTAATCTATGGAACATAACGACATACCACAATACAGTTATAAAATTGGTGTACAAAAACCATAATGATGTGTGGTACGTCTAAATTTACAAGTGCATACAACATTTAAGAACATGATACATAAATATTTATACTAAATAAAAAATGAGTATATACGAGGGCGACACTAAAAGTTTTTACAACTGGCCACTTTAAATATTGTAATAAAAAAATAAGTTCAAATTTTGAAAATGGAACACTTTGCCAATATTATTGTGTATGTACCTATATTATTAATTTGTCATTTGTTCACGATTTGGCGGCAAATTGAAAATTGACTGTCACGTCACCATGAAATTGCAATGAAACAGCGAGCGAAAGGCACGATCGGCTTAAGCGTTCGGCTTGCGCCGCATCTATCTCTATTCCACAAATTATGCAATCATTTCATCAATGTTTTGTTATGGCATTTTCACGTTAAATAACCAATCACGTTAAAGTAAAAAAAAAACCAATTTTTATATATGATAGGGTGACAAACGAGCACACAGTCCACATGATAGTAAGTGGTTGCTGTGGCTAAAATACCACCATAGAGTGAGGACTAAGATGGAATGCCTCGTTTCCAGTAAAAAGGGTCTCCGGTTCTCTACACTCATCATACAAAACAGAGCAGTATTAAGCTACTATTTTACGCTGGTATTCTGTGAGAGCGTGGTCCTTCCCCGGTCGAGCCAACCCATTCGTGCCACAACTATACGACTAATATAACTGCAGCATGGCTCTACCGCGTAATACTTGTACACTATATTTTACAAGCTACCGTTACCGTTACAATCTATTAAATTGAACATAAGACTCCCACAGAGGTTGCCTCATATTTGCCATAGTTGCCACGCTTGGCAAGCGGGTTGGGAACCGAGATTTTTATTTTACTTCTAGTTGTTATTAGGAAGACGTTGCCGCCCATATTCTGATATGTTTCCCTCAATTTTAAATACATGGGGTATTTGAAACCCTATGTTGAATTTTACAAGACAGTGCAGTGTTTTAAATTTTATCGTATTAGAAAAGTATCGATATCGCTATTCAATCACATAGTTCATTGTATTGTCGCATGAGCTTGTTTATTGAAGCATATTTTCCTAAGTTAGTTCTGCATTTATAGTTGTCGTAAATAGTTTAGTAATTAGGAATCTAGATATCGTGCGACAAATAGATATATTTATTTTCAAGAGGAACTCTGAAGATATCATTCCACCGCCGTGTTTAATTTTATGAAGAGTTAGAGCATCAAATAATATGCGCCTCATTTCTTGAAATAATCAACAATACCTTGGAATTTCATTTTTATATGGATGAGTCTGACATTATAATTAGCTAGAAACTTTGAACCTCAGAAAACGTGTAAAATTGCGTTCAATGCGTCCAAATCAGTCGCTATGAACTTTATAATGGGGGCTCCAGATCGGTGACGTATCCTAAAGTATGATACGGATCAAAACGTTGTAGGTTAAGAATAGCTATAGATTTCTAAAATCCTTACATGTACGTTTTACGTAAATGATACCATTTTGTAAGATTTCTCAACACAATTTATTTTTGTATTTGATGTTTTCTAAACAAAAATTTTGTTTTAGTATTTTCATGTTATTATTCGTGTTAAGAGTAGTATAACAGTCTTAAACTCACAACACCTGTTGAGCACAAACTTTCTTCCGTTATTCCAACATAATAGTAGATATGTTATTAAAAAATACCAATAATAGTCCGTCACGTGGTTGTCAAACGTCTTGTGGTTGGCAAACTTCACATGTTCTCGAAATATATTTAATTTGTCTAACATACAGGTGAATGCGTGCGAAACGACTGAAAAGTACTATTTATAATTTTAATGGTATCGATCGCATTCTATCAACTACCACAGGTATCCGTATAGGATAGAATAATTTTTATTTAATAGATAACCGGAATACATTATTGGCAATCATTTATGATCTTACTACTATTTGGGAATTAAACGACGATCCTGGGAAGAACCTGCAAGAAAACCAGCGAGACTTTTAAAAAAAATTGTTATATTGACAATTGATTTTTTTTGTACAATAATGTACAATGATAAATACAAAGTTGGGTTGATGCTATATTTTTTTAAATAACGTTCAATTTATGTTACAAAAATTATAATAAAGAACTAACTAAAATAATAATTAAAATTATAATATTTACGATTAAAACTAATTATATACAATATAAAAGAAGAAACTATAATATAGAAAATCTAAAACTAAAAATTTAAATCGTCAAAAAGACCTGCTCCCCGTGGTATAGTGCCAAGAACGCTGGCTGCGTTTCCTCGCTGAATAGCTATACTTAGCCTTTGAGCGAGGAAAGAACCAGCCCGAATGAATCGGCTCGACTGGTGAAGGGCCACGCTCTCACATACAAACAATGTGAAATAACAGCTTAATACTGCTGTGTTTTGTGTGGTGAGTGCAAGACAACGGGAGACGCTTTTTTATAGGATAGGGTGACAAACGAGCACACAGTTCACCTGATGGTAAGTAATTGCTGTGGCCTATAGACATCTACATCTATCCTCCATTACGAATCAAATTGCAGATGCGTTGTCACCCGTGAGGACTTAGATGGAATGCCTCGTTTCCAGTACAAAGGGTCTCCGGTTCTCTACACTCACGATACGAAATACAGCAGCATTAAGCTACTATTTTACGCTGGTATTCTGTGAGAGCGTGGTCCTTCCCCGGTCGAGCCGACCCATTAGTGCTACAACTATACTACTAATATAACAGCAGCATGGCTCTACCACGTTTATACTCGTATATCTGATATATGTTATAGACACAATAACATTAGTAGAAACCCCTCATTAATCTACGGTTTTCTATGCTTTCAGATTCTGCAAGACATGATGGTGGAGATAGATTATGATGCTGATGGAACCGTTTCTCTCGACGAATGGAAAAGAGGAGGGTTAGTAATTCTACGTAGATAACAGTTCTATCTAATGTTCATATTTTTTGGCTTTTTAAAAACGATAATTTAATAATTCCTTGGTGAAAAGTTTTATTTATTGTTTTTTTTAATAATTACTAAACTAATACTTGTTTTAAAATTGATAATTAATTCCCAGATCCGTTAAAATTTTTAAGAATTATCCATTGAATGATTGAACTAATTTGCAGTACTATCACACTGACTGGGAGGGTTTTTACTGTTTTATTGTTTTAATTTTAAATTACTATTTTCTGTTCTTATTCGCCCTAACCAACTCACTTTATTTTTCATAATAAAATTAATCCTAAGTTACATGACCTTCATTTTATTTTTATTATAAAAATAAATTGTTTTAACACGGATTAATAGGAAGAGAACAGAATTTTAAAGTCATTGGAATTTCAATTATTTCATTGCACATAATTCTACAAGAAATATATTTTTAATTTTTATTTTAATGATACAATAATTGAGTTCTTAATTTTTTTTTGTCAGCCTTTACAAATCCACTACTGGACAAGTTGCAAGGATGCAAAGGGATGCACCAAAAGATTTTCTCATGCTTATTACGTTGTTTACACGGGTTGGTGGGTACAGTAGAAGTATTTTCACACTAGTAACAATATATTTTGAATATTGTTAGCGACGTAAAATAGTCGTTGATGTCAAATTAGGTGACTATGAAATATTTAAGAAAGATTATAAGACTTTCATTATATGCAGCGGCATATAGATTACGCCAGTAATACAATATCCTACCCGGCGACGGGGAACAGTGTCAGATGTACAAATGGAACTCAGGTTATCAATCAACCTGCTAAGCTTGGCAGTTAAAACAGATCAAGACATGCATGCATGAAGCTAGAGACATACATGCAGTTTTATGGTTGTAGCACGAATGGATCGGCTCGACTGGTGAAGGACCACGCTCTCACATACAAACAGTGTGAAATAACAGCTTAATACTGCTGTGTTTTGTGTGGTGAGTGCAAGACAACGGGAGACCCTTTTTATTGGAAATGATGTATTCCATCTTAGTCCTCAGGAGTGACAACGCATCTGCATTTTGGTTCTTAATTGAGGATAGATATAGATGTCTATGGGCCTCAACATCTACTTACCATAAGGTGAAATAAGTGCTCGTTTGTCATTCTTATTCTATAAATATAAATGCTGCCAATACTCGTAACACGAAAAGCTTAATCCCGTCAAAAACATAACTTGTAAAAAAATCAAATCTCGCAACTCAGTTCTTCTACTGTAAAAAGTTGTGAGATCCATGTAATACCAAGTCGGTTAATTTATTCAGTCCCTACTTAAGGGTCCTTCTGTTTTAAGTTATTACGTAATTAGCTAACCTTACATCTTATAGTGACCACATCAATATTAAAAATCGTTTATGTTTTAAATAAATAGATTGACTTGGCCATCGCATAAAACACAATGTATCTCACAGGTTATTAGATTGTTGAGTGCGACTGCCAAGTCAATCTATTTATTAAAAACATGAAGGATTTTTATCCACAATGAAGTTCTAGGGGGTCGAAAATTGCCTGAACTGCTTCGAGAAAAGTATAGTACGGCCGTGCCGCTTTTTTGCTAGACTTGGCGGGGGCACTGCCGTGCTCCCAGATGCCTAACGCTGGGTTTGTAGAAGTTAAGATTTCTGCTAGAAGAGTTAACTCTTACCTAATGTCAAATCAAATTATTTTCAGTATGACGACTATTCCATTGCTGGTGCTATTGGGACTTGACACAAACGTTAAAGAGGACGGAGAACACGCGTGGAGACTGAAGCATTTCAACCGACCAGCCTACTGTAATCTCTGCCTTAATATGCTTGTCGGTTTAGGAAAAAAGGGGTTGTGCTGCATATGTAAGTATATTGTTTTATTATAATTACTAGCTTTTTTCTCGCGGCTTCCGCAGTAGATCGTTGGCGTAATTTCAAATTATCATACAACGGTTACATTTTAAACTTTATTCATAAATTATTTAATTTATTAGTAATTGAGGGTAAATATGCTACTTATTCCATTTGATGATAGATGGCACTGTTTTGAAAACTAAAACGTAGATCGTCAGCGTAGTTTCAAATTATTATACAAAGCGTAAAATTAACTTTAATCCTGCATATATACGTAACCAACAAAATTAATTTCAATTAATTAACATCTAAAGCAAGGAAAATACTTAACCTTCTTTTTTGAAGTTCCGTAATCGGATAAAAATTAGCCTATTAGTTGCCCCGAGTTTTATTTTTTAAATTTCATGGAAATTGGTCTAGTAGAAACACAGAGGGAGTACAGAAAGACAGACAGACAGACAAAAATTCTACAAACCACTAATTTAGCTTTAGTACCCTTTACTTATTCCCCTGGATTTGTTTTTTCAATGATAATAGAATTACAGACACGACTTTCTTACAGATATATTATATGTCGGATAAATTTAGCCTATAAGTTACCCCGGGTTCCTAATTACTTACAAAATTTCATGTAAATATGTTAAATAGTTTTTGCGTGAATTTCAGTTTTTTTTGCGTCAATTTTTTGACAGAATTACAGGCACGACTTTCTATAGATTTATTTTATGTATATGTAATAATTATAATGTAGACATTTTGTATGGATGTAATTCAGTCTACTCACATGCCCATTTATTAATTATTTGCAAGTTTGAGTGGAACTTAAAGATAATTTTATTAGGTGTGGCAAATACAATAAATGTGACAAGATCATATTATGTCGTTAATGAAATCGATTTGTGGTCGATATCATCATTTATTCAAAAAAGTCATTTACATCATACAATATAGAGTATAAATCGGCAATAGTTGAATTATCATCGTCTAATATTAATTGAAGTCGTTATAAAATTCAAAAAATAAAGTTAAAGGAAACATATACCATAACTCAACAAATAAATACAGTTCAACTTTCAACTTATAATTTATTTGATACAAAACCTTTATGTAATCATGGCGTTTGAAAAATCAGCCCTAAAATAAGTAGTTAAACCGTTCTGCTTAATTTTTTAATTTTCTGGCACATTGTTAGGAGGTTTTGGTTTCAAGATTTAGAAGTATTTTCATACAAGAAGATTTTTTTATAGTATAGGGTGCCAAAGAGTACACAGTCCAACTGATGGTAAGTGGATGCTGTGGCCCATTGACAATTACGAATCAAAATGCAGATACGTTATGACCCCTGAGGACTAAGATGAAATGCCTCGTTTTCATTAAAAATAGTCACCAGTTTTCTAAAGTTTCCATACAAAACACAAGAGAATTAAGCTACTGTTTCACGCTGGTATTTTTGAGAACGTGTCGTGTCTTTCCTCGGTCGCGCCGAACCTTTCGTGCTACAACCGTAATATAGCTACAATTATGGCTTTATCACGTATATACGATTAAATTTTCACGTTGTATAATTAAACCGACCACCAACTACTTTATGAATAAACAAAATAACTGTACCCTGCTGTACGTACTGAATTTTTATCAGTCTGCAAGTTCACTGTACACGAGCGGTGCGTGCAACGAGCGCCTGCGTCCTGCATAGCGACGTATTCCAAACGACGAGCATCTGCAACTCTTGCACATCATTGGGTTGAAGGTAAGCAATTTAATAAGGAACTTCAGGGTTGCGGCTTAAACTGAAGGCTTTGCTCGACTTTTGCATTCTATTTTAGTCAATTAATTAAATGCAATAATTATAATTAATTTAATGCAATAATTATAAATAATTTAATTATACTTAGATGTTAGTAATCGTTAATTCAAATCTCAAATCTCCGAAAGTTCTTTACGATTGCTTTGATATTTTGATACAACGTTGCATCCATTTTTTTATGAAATGCAAATTTAATGGTTTGTTATTTTATTTTAATTACAGCGAGCATTATCTTATTGTATTTCTTTTCCTTTGTTATATTTTTTTAAATAAATAACTGATTTAATCCATAAAAGATTGAAAATGTTGGTTCACTGTACACCTATTTTTCACCATCTAACAGTTTTCTTGATCATTTTTATAATAATAGTGAGGAACAACAATTGCCAACAGTTTTAAAGAAAAACGTATAAAGAAATACCTAACGCAATTCTGACATGATTCTTTTAATTTTTATTACCTATGGGGGAGGCCTATGTTCAGCAGTGGACTTGTGAAGGGCAGTAATGATATGTTTGATGATTTTTTGCACCGATATTTTCAGAAATATGGTGGGGGACAATGATTTTGACAATTTGAAAAACACATTTATCTTTCTTGTATAGGCATTTTTTGGATTTAAACCTCAGGTCTTAATTTTTTACTCTCACAGGCAACTGTCATGGAAAATGCGCGAGGTGTCGGAAAAAGATCAAAGGATATAACGGGATTACGGGTCTTCACTGTCGATGGTGCCATATAACCGTAAGCTTAAGAAAGTTTCTAACTAACACTCAAAATCAACTGTTTAGTTAACAAATCTTGTCTGATACATTTTTACTGCAATTTATAGTCAAAATAGGGGTAGTCAAAGTAGGGAGACACGTAGTGAAGTGTGTAGTGTGTGTAGGTGACTTACGAACCCTCCACTACTAACCACCTAACCATAGGCCTTCTATGCACTTCTACAAAATCGGCCTTAATCGGCCCTTAATCGCCTCTAACCCAGCGACATGATAGAAATTGATATATAATTAGTTGATATTTTGAACACTAAAATAATGCGATATATATTTGGTAGGAATATTCCTTTCACCGAGTAGAGTTCAGCTAAGAACGGATTTAATAAATTTGTTACGGCCCTCAGTTACCCCGACAAAAGTCGACAGGATTAGGGCCCATCAGTAATCAAACTCGACGAGCAACCCAGGGGAAGGCCCAATAGCCTATGGATAATTAATTTATAACGGCTGTATAAGCAAACACAAACTTACCGAATTATGGGTGTAGGGTCGACCACAAGGCGCCGTCAGGGGCAAGTAAATGATATATGTGAGTGGTGTAGGAAAGTGTGTAATGTAACTTGACGTCACCGATATAATCGTTCGGCAGAACCACATTCGTTGCCACGCTCCACAAGGCGCAATCACCTTAGAGGGCGCCTGTCGTTATCGGAATTAAAATCTAACGTCACTTAGCACAAACTATAATCGAGCGCGATCGCCACCCGGATCACAAAGTTTAACGTTCAACTGATAAAGCAAGATTTCTTAGCACGATATTAAAATACAACACAAGCCACGCGTCGATGCAAATTAATAGCAATTGAAGTTAAAATAGTCACTAAAAACTCAAGAATAAGCCTTGTTGTCACGTATATTAACGAAATAAAACAACAAAATGGAGACCGTCGTAATGCGACGTAGCAATTCTTATGTAACTCGCGACCTCTAATCAAAGTCCAAAGATTCTACCAGACTAACAGGCGCGGTCGCAGGTTGCAAGACGAAAACCCCTCTCGCAACCCGCAAACCGGTTCCTCGTCCGTCGAGCGCCTTGCAAATTTAATATTGCCACAAATTGGCGTAAACAAACCTCCGTCCCGGGCATAAGGACTTATGCCCGCGAGTAAATTGGCAAACGAGATAGGGTCGCGACGGCACGTTGCAAGACCGAATCTCCAACCAAAACCTCGGCCACCCTAGGCACCCCATCCGATCCATACGAAAACTTAACAATGCGCCCACGACGCCAATACAAAGGCAAAGCGTTAGGTTCCTTAAATAATACGAGGTCTCCAACCCGAGGAGAATCAGTCTTGTCAGACCACTTAACGCGCTGCTGCAAAAGATGTAGGTACTCCAGAGACCATCGGTGCCAAAAACTCTGAGTCATTTGTTGCAGCAGGTCAAATCTGCTCAACCTCGAAGAGTTTGTTTCCCTGAAGGGGTACTCGGGCAGGGCGTTAAGCGGCTGGCCAATCAGGAAGTGGCCCGGGGTTAGAACCTCCAAATCATTCGGATCGGACGAGAGGGGACAAGGAGGGCCGAGAGTTGAGTACCGCCTCAATTTTACAGAATACAGTGGCAAGCTCTTCAAATGTCAAAATAGTTTTGCCAATAACGCGACGGAGATGCGTTTTTGCAACCTTAACCACCGCCTCAAAAATACCGCCCCATTATGGGGAAAGCCGGAGGGTCGAATTTCCACTGGATGCCCTTCTTGGACATTGCAGTACTTAAATAAGTCCTGTTGCTGGACAGGAATTCGACGACCTCTTTCAAATATCTATCCGTGCCCTTATAATTCGTTCCGCAATCAGACCGGATCAGGTCCGGCAAACCGCGACGCGATACGAAGCGGCCCAGCGTGGCCACAAAGGCTTCAGTGCTGAGAGCACTTACAAGTTCTAAGTGAACGGCGTTAGTGGCGATGCACACGAAAACGCACAGATAGTGAACCTTATGTGAACGCGCGTTACGAAGGTTGGAGGACTTGACGAGGAAAGGGCTAGCAAAGTCGGTTCCGACTCCAGCGAATGGTCGGATGGCCCTAATGCGGTTGGGTGGTAAGTCACCCATCATCGGCTGCGATATGGTGGCCTTCAATTTATAACAAGGTATGCACTTAAAAATGACGCTCCGAATGGTGCGTCGGCCAGCCAAAATCCAAAACTCCCGCTGTAAATAGCCGAAAGAGAGTTACACCTAGCGTGGGCATTCTGAACATGATGGTGAGTTACCAGCAACCGAACAAAGGCGCCGTCCTTATGGAGCAGTAACGGGTGTCGAGCCCCGTACGTTAGTTGAGAATTTTCTAAACGTCCGCCAACACGCAGCATCCCAGCGGCGTCCAGAAAGAGGTTCAGGCGGGCCAGAGCGCCCTTGACAACGGAGCCCCGCTTCAAGATTTCCATCACGGGCTTAAAATGCTCCGCTTGGACCATACGGGTCCAATGATGAATCAGAGATTCGGTTGGACGGGTCTCTCGAATTGCGGACAAATCGACGCAACCAAGCAGTCACTCCTAAGAGCTTATCGAGAGAGCTGTACCGTTCTAGCAGGGAGAAATCCCGAGTGGGCTTATTCTTGCCCACTCCTACTTGGGCTCGTAGGCCAGGCAATTCAATCGGTTCGGAGTATGTATTCTGGGGCCAGAACAACTGAGACTCAGTCAACCAACTGGGCCCTCACCACAGAGGTTGGTCAACCACAGAGGGGGCTTCACAGCCGCGAGAAGCGCAGTCTGCGGAATTCAACTCCCCTGGGACATGTCTCCAGGTTAGAGACGTGCCAGAATTCTGGATTTGAGACACGCGATTCGCCACAAAGACCTCAAGATTGTGAGGTGCAGCTCGGAGCCAACAAAGTACTATCTCACTGTCCGACCAGGCGTAGACGTCCGTAATGTCGATTACAGACTTCGAGGAAGAGTGAACGTGGTTGAGGAGTCGCGTGAGAAGAGCGGCTCCGGACGGTTCCAATTTAGGGATAGTTAAACGGGACCTAATGGGAGCAACCCTGATTTTAGCAAGTACGAGATGGACAGAAGTATGGCCAGAAGCGCTCACAGTCCGCAAATATACGACAGCAGCATAGCCTTTCTCAGAGGCGTCGCAAAATCCATGCAGAGTAGCCCTGCATTTCCCTGGAGGGAGAAAGCACCTTGGCATGAAGACCCGGTTGATGTCCGGAAGGGAGGACACAATGGAGAGCCACTTTCGCAAGAGAGCACCGCTTATGGGGTCGTCTGGAAATGTGAATATCGGCTCCAAAATCCACTTGGTGCCGAAGGAAGTGGGTCAAAATGTCGGATATGTCCTTGATCAATTTAGGACCAGAGTGGAGACACTGGTTCAGGGACACACCATTTGACGAGAAGGCGGAGCCGTCGAAAACTACCCGAATCTTTTTCCCAGGGGTCCTCAAGACCACATGGTGGGGGAGGAAGTAGTGCTCCTGTGACCGCCAGTCGAAGTTGGACGGTGACATGTGACCCAACTCTTGATACTCGCGCATGAGCTCGACATATTTGTCGCGAAAGGCTGGGTCAAGCCGCATACGGCGCTCCGTGGAAAGCACCCTCTTTTCGGCCAGGGTACGAGATTGGCTCAAAGGGGCCGTGAAGTCAAGAAAGGGTAAGCGAGTGACAAAACGACCGTCGACACGACAGCCGGTATTGTTCTGGTAGAACAACTCGCACTCACGGTCCAGAGGGTTGACTCGAGGCGCGTGTGGTGGCTCCTCAATTTCCCAGAACCGCTGGACGACGTCCGAAAGGGACACGCCCACCACAGAGAGCGGGTCGGCCGTCTGAGGAGGTTGAGACCACAGAGCCGGTCCAAAGAAACTGTGCCCAAATACAGTGGACATGGTTGACAAGCCATCGGGCTTTAGGGCTCGTATCTCGCCTAACAGGATGAACCCCAGCACGTCGGCCCTCAGCAACAAATCTATAGGCCCAGGTTGGGACCATTGAGGGTATGCCGATCTCAAACCCGACGCACAACGAACCGCGCTGTCATTTATACGGACGTTAGGGAGAAAACCTACAAGGTCATCGAGGACCGTTACCTGAACTAGAATATGAAGGTGTTTGCTGGCAGGGTCAAACACCAACTCCGCTTGTCACCTAGGAGCAGGAGGCTCGGCACTGCCGATACCTACCATTGGACATGATTCAGAGCTCCAGGGGAGCCCTAGTCTTCCCATCAACCAAGTGGAGGCCACACAGCGTTGTGAACCTGAATCCAAAATAGCGCAAACCGTGAAACAGTCGCCACTCGGGTTGTACACCTTCACTGAGGCCATCGGCAATAGAACAGTGGACATGGAACAGTGGTGGTGATTGACAAGTGGACTGTTGGACGGCTCAATGGATCAGTGAAGGCGGCCGTGGTGGGAGCTAGGGCGGCAGCTTCCTAGCTGAAGCTGCCTCCATCGGACCGGCACTCGAGCCGGGAGTCCCGAAAGCGGCATTCCGGCGGCATCTAAACGACCCGGGGTTGGAAATAACCGAACGCGCCGACCTGGGGAGACCTGGGGTACTCCAGTCGCGGCCGCTCAGCTAACGGGGGTGAGAAGGGTCTAGCTGACCGCTGAGTGGCCGTGAAGTTCCTCTCAACACGCTGAGGGGGGGTGGCAACCCCCCCGACCCTGGGGGAACGACCCCCCGACTGGTCGGGGGAGGGACCCCCTTCAAACCCAGGGGCACGGTGGCCGGCAGGGGAGCGCCGAGCGTCGCCCGACTGAGGGGGTGGCTGAGCGCCCCCGCCCGTGGGGGTTGAGGGCCCGACAGAGCCCCGAGAGGAAGCGTCGTTCGCACACAGACACAAAACGGCATGGTGGTTGCCCTGGCAGTGCGGATAAGGCCGCTGGTGCGGGCAGTCTCGTTGGAGCAGCAGAGTAGCACCTAGGTTCGCTGGATTGCGACAGAAGGAGAGCGACTAGGCCACTATAAATGTAGGGTAGGGGTAAACGACTTGTCCGGGGGATTCCGCCTCTCCCTGGTCACGGCTCGATTGGCAGTCCGTAGGTCGTCGACGGTGCCCGTTGCGTTTTCAATCTGTCTGCACTACTCCTCGAAGAACCCTGTCCAAGATCCCTGAAGGGCGGAATATAGGAGTCGCCGTCCCCGCTGTACCTCTCCTCAAAATGGATCCGAAGATCGAGAGACAGGCGGGACAGCACGATGTGGAGCAACAAGAAGGACCATTCGTCCACCGGTAAATCCAGCTACCTCAAAGATTTACAGGCCACCAAGACTGGATTTACGATGTCCGGACGTAGTCTGGCCCGGTCCTTAAGGGGAAATATAACCTCAAATGGCTTAGCAAGATCCTCCGTTATGCCGAAAATATTGCAGCATTAATTTTGAAATAAATATATGGTAAAGTTGAGGATTAAGTAATGATTTCTTATATTTACGCGAACACTACACATTCGAAATAATACTAATTTTTACGGAATTTATCGCGTATATTTAACTTTTTTACCCGACGTTTCGAGAGCTTTACAGCACCCATGGTCACGGGAAGGACTGAGATGTTTAACGTCCAGCTGTCATAGTTAACCGCGGTTACCATAGATTAAAATTTAACTTTTGTTCCGATCTACACAGTATGAACTTATGGTATCATGGAGTCTTGCAGTTGTATGCTTGGGTTGGGATTTAATTTTATTTATTATAGGATCCCAAGCAGATGGTAGCACCCAGCCATCTTCTCTATTGAAATTAGGATGTTTTTTGATTTCAATAGCCTCGCGAATCATCCTTGGAAGGAATCGGTGTTCTTTAGCGAGGATTTGTGGTCTATCAAATCTGATGTAGTGACGGGGGCGATCCTGTACATGTTCACAGACTGCAGACTTCCCGGAGCGTCGATTCTTCACATCAGCTATATGTTCTTTGACGCGGGTTTTAATTGATCTTTTAGTTTGTCCTATGTAGGAGTAATCTATGGTTACCGCGGTTAACTATGACAGCTGGACGTTGAACATCTCAGTCCTTCCCGTGACCATGGGTGCTGTAAAGCTCTCGAAACGTCGGGTAAAAAAGTTAAATATACGCGATAAATTCCGTAAAAATTAGTATTATTTCATTGAGGATTAATGTTAATTGGATTATGTTAGACGAAAACACGATTCCGTAAAATTTTCTCGATAGAAAAAAATCCAAAGTTACCTCCAAAATAAACAATAAACCGCTGTTATTCATAAAATACTTTAAATTCAAGATCATGTAACTTTGCATACTAACTGAACTATAAAGCAGTGCTTATGTTATTTACTTTTTTTTAAAAAACCATTATTTTCACTGTAAAAAGAAATTACCTAAACTATCGGCCTCTTGAAGCGTGATTCCTGCCGCTCGGTCAGTTTTGCTTCGGCCTTTGAAGAAGTTATGTCGCTTACGATCAGAATACACATTTTACAACAGGACGACGTAAAATTAAAATGGGAAATAACCGTAATAAAAATAAGAAGCGACTGACTAGCTTGGCGTTAAGAAACAGGCATAAATATGATAAACCTAATGAAATAAGTGTCTAACGACCTATCTACTTACAGTATTAGTGATTACAAACATGTCGGTACATAGCATACGACGCGCGGGGAAGTGGGGGCAAAATTATAATTTGAGCTGACTTACTATATCCCGTTAAGCAGCGGGAGGTTTAGCAGCTGCTTAACGTATTCGTCCGCAATTCGCTGGACGTTGGCGTACCTTCCGGCGAGGAGTTCCCGGGCGGTCTGGTAGGCGTCGTCCGACAATTTCAGATGGCCGACGACGCCCAGGGCCTCCCTCTCCAATGAGACCAGGAGGTACGCCATCTTCTGGCTTGGTGTTAAGTCCCTCCAGGCGTCCACTAGGCTGTCAAAAAGGCCAACAAAGGTCAGCCAGTCGGAGAAGACCCTGGAGAACCTTGGCAGGTCCAGAAGTTGAGAGTCGTCCCAACAGCTCCGGCTGAGTAGGCTCCTTCCGAGGGGACTCGAGCAGGCCACTCAGCCGAGCTTCACGCGCTTCATGAGCATACTTGGCCCCCGCCTCGATCAAGTCGTCCGTGAGCGAAAAGAATCGCTCGTAGTCCGCGAGGCAGGAGTCTAGGACTCCCTGTTCGGCATCCGAACCCAAAAGCTCAGTGCAATCCTCCTCCATTACGGCCCTTCGGGTCATGACCTGCTCGAGCCGCTTCTCTAAGCTATGGACCCGATCGGGTCGCCCTATCAAGGTATGGGCGTTCGCGGCACAGCGTAGCTCCGCCTGCAAGCGAAGCGCCGGTGGCTTGTGCGATGGTATCACTACTAAATACAATTACTATTAATTTAATTAAATAAAATTACACTACACGGCAAGTACTCACTACAGTCGGTCAACAAAGATGCCCAGCACAGGAGACCGACCCTTCGGCAATTTAATCTAATTACCCGAAATACCTAACGCGTAGGTACCTAAACCTAAACTACACTCGTGCTTGTGCAGCCTAACGGGCGTGGCTCTAACCACCGATCCGCTAACAAACAACAAAAAAAAATATTATTATATTACAGCCGGGCGCGATTGTAGAAACAATCAACCACGCTCTGCTACCAGAAAATGTTACCTCAGTTACCCCGACAAAAGTCGACAGGATTAGGGCCCATCAGTAATCCAACTCGACGAACAACTGAGGGTAGGGCCCAATGGCCTATGGATAATTAATTTATAACGGCTGTATAAGCAAACACAAACTTACCGAACTCTAGGTGTAGGGTCGAGCACAAGGCGCCGTCAGGGGCAAGTAAATGATATGTGTGAGTGGTGTAGGAAAGTGTATAATGTAACCTGACGTCACCGATATAATCGTTCGGCAGAACCACATTCGTTGCCACGCTCCACAAGGCGCAATCACCTTAGAGAGCGCCTGCCGTTATCGGAATTCAAAGTCTAACGTCACTTAGCACAAACTATAATCGAGCGCGATCGCCACCCGGATCAGATTCCTTTCCAGATATTAAAATGCAACACAAGCTACGAGTCGACGCAAAATAATAGCAATTGAAGTTAAAATAGTCACTCAAAACTCAAGAATAAGCCTTGTTGTCACGTATATTAACGAAATAAAACAACGCAATGGAGACCGCAATGCGACGTAGCAATTCTTATATAACTCGCGACCTCTAATCGACATAGTCGTCGCGTCCAAAGATTCTGCCAGACTAACAGGCGCGGTCGCAGGTCGCAAATCGAAAACCCCCTTCGCAACCCGCCAACCGGTTCCTTGTCCAACGAGCGCCTTACAAGTTTAATATTGCCACAATTCGGCGTAAACAAAATTCCACCCGCAAGGAGGGTTGCGAGAGTGTTAATTAAAAAAATAATAATTTTAAAACTATAGCTCTTATAAGTGTACAACTTGACCAGAATAAAAAAATCTAAAATATAATCTTGGTAACCTATAGCTCATAAAGAGTTGAAAGGTTTGAAATTTGGAAAAAATTATTATTATTGTTATCATGAGTTCAAAGAACGAATTTTATGAAATTCCACTCACGAAGGGGATTGCGGGAGCGTTATAATGAAAGTAAAAAAAAATATTAATTATAATTCGGGCTATAATGAATAATAAAATTAATCTGTAATTTTCGGTATGTATATTTGAGTGGTTTAAAAACTCAATTAGACCCGGTAGGTGGCGCTGTGGTCGAGATCCAGTCAATCAAAATCACCCATGCGAAGCTAGTATATGTATCTATATACATATTCTAAATAAAAAAAAATATATATATATATATATATAAACAATCTCAATGTACGAGAATAATAAACTTATAAAACGCTATGTCATCGTCAAGGATTAAGATATATTAACGATACGTCTCTTGTTTCCATATCTTGTCAGTTGTCAGTGAAATCCAGTACATAGTTGCAGTATAGCATGACCACATTCCCTATATTTTATCAATATGTTTATGATACAGCTGCATAACCGGTGCGTGGGCAGCGCTGGAGGCGCGTGCACATTGGGCCGCCATGCTAAGCACATCCTGCCGCCCACCGCTATCCGCCCGCTTGTCCTCGACCGCCAGAGGTCACTGCCGCACCGGACGCAACAAGATCAGGTGAACATCGCTAATGTAAATTTATTTATTTCATGGCGTAAGTACGGATGGTGAACCTTACGTTGTAAGTTTAAACTCTCACCTGTTCTATGCTAACTTAAGCGTTTTTTTAAATTACGTGGTGTTATTGTACTCGTATATAACAAGATTGTCATATAAGGAAGCCTTATAATTATAATTTCTCTTAAGCTAGTACTGTGTCAATAAAAAAGTAAAGTAAAGTTACAGCCTATATACGTCCCACTGCTGGGCACAGGCCTCCTCTCATTTCTGAAAGGGTTTAAGGGCAAGGAAATGTCCGCTGCACTGCCCCAATGCGTGTTGGCGAACTTCACATGTCTTCGAAATATTTTTTTCTTATTCGTCGGACATGCAGGTTTCCTCACGATGTTTTTCTTCACCGCCGAGCACGTGGTAAATCAGCACTTAAAATTGCAATTGACAATTTTATTTGTGCCGGCGGAGATCAAACTCAGGCTACTCGTGTTCTATTATATTTACAGCGAACGTTAACCATCTGAGCTATCACGGCTCTTCACTGTTTCAATGTCTAAATCAATTAGTACGAATATGAAACAATGAAAAATGTTAAATTATCAAACTAAGTTTGAAATATTTTGTTTACAGCATACTCTCCCAGTATCAATATCACTGCCAATATCCATTTCTGCAACAGCAGAAGAAAAAAAGGAAGATAAGAAGGAACCAAGAGCGCCGCCCATATCATTCCAAATCACCCCACCTGAAGGCTCTTGTCCACTACTCGTGTTCATTAATCCAAAATCTGGAGGTCGTCAGGGCTCTAGAGTGTTGAGGAAGCTTCAATATATTCTTAATCCAAGACAAGTGCATGACATCACTAAAGGTGGACCAATGCAAGGCAAGTTTTTGAAATGATTTGCAATAGACACTAGATGACCTAAACACGACTAATTTAATATAATATTCTAGCTCATTCTCTCGCAGGCTGAATCCTGTAGATGTATATGTTTGCCTCTTTTTAGTGTCACTGTTTCGTTTCATCGAGTTTCAAATCACAACGATTTTCAATTCAAAAGTAACATATTTTTTCTCATCCGTTGTATAAGCTCTGCAAGTTGATATTGCGATGGAACCTAGTCACAAAAACAGCAGCGTGACGTCATCCACCGCAAAAAATTACAGACAACAAAAAAAATATCTTCTTTTCGTGTGATGTGTGTTGTGTGTTGCCACTTCCGGTGAAAAAAGTTAACGACCTAGGGTTATAGGTATTTATATTATATTATATACATATATTTTTAGGTATTTAATTATAAATATTTCCCATTAAATAACCTAATAATATAATAGACGTTAAAGAAGTCTTATCTGATTGATACGTTTTCATTAAACCTCTCAACCAATTTTAATGGACAATTAATAAATAAAACCAAGTATTAAAAAAATCGATGTTTATTAATCATCATCATCATCATCATCATCACAGCCCTTCACAAGTCCACTGGTGAACATAGGCCTCGCCACAAAACATGGTCCTGAGCCACTTGCAGCCATCGACTTCCTGCTTGTCTTACCAGGTCGTCACTCCATCTAGTGGGGGGGTCACCCTATACTATGTCTACCGATATGAAGCTGCCACTCGAGAACCTTTTTTCCCGTCGGTTCTCGAGCTATATGGTCGGCCCATTGCCACTTCAGCTTACTAATCCGTTGAACTATGTCGGTCACTCTGGTTCTACTGTGGATATCCTCATTTCTAAGTTTATCACGCAGAGAAACCCCGAGCATAGCATAGTTTATTAATACAATTTAACAATTCTAGACTAATTCTTCAATTCCACTCATATTATCATCCAAATCAGAACTAGTTTCAGAGTCCGTTGTACCAGATTCACTGTCGTCTGCCGTACTGATGATAAATAATTCATCAGTTATTCGGTCTTTACGCCGGTATTCTTCTTTAAGTCTGTTCACTTAATTAACTTCTTTCTTCCAACCATCTGGAGTTATTGACGCCAAAGCAAGGTTCATATTTTAAATCAATAATTTAGAGTCCTCTTTCTCCTTTACAAAATAATTGTCCACTTTAATAATCATTTCACGACCACGGCTGCTAATTACTTTCTTACTCATTGTAACAGAACAATAACAAAACTTAACAACAAACACAAAACAGGATAACGAAAATAAAAAGCTATCAAAACACATACCATATACGCGTGTATTACTGGCTGACGTCACTAAGATAGCCGCCAGTCACAATATCAATTTGCGGGGCTAATAGAGGAGTATTGCTTTAATTGTCTCGTAGCTTTGAAGCTTTCCCCGTCAACTGTCTGGGTGTTCAGGCCTGACGTAAACTTGGTAGTTACATCGCTATATATAAGCCATGAGAGCTTTCTAGCATTTCCCATAGCCGTCACATACGTACCCGCAAAACAAAATGAAGTCATGGATTTTATAATGGCGCCAATAAGCGACAAGTGGTGAATCCTCTTATTTTCTTAATGATCCTTTTAAAACCAGCACATGACGTTAAATATTTTAACTAATGCACCTAATGACGTATTTTGCGTAATATTATTCATTTTCACTTTCGACTTTAAACGGAGGAGTTACTCAATTCGACTGTATGTTTTTTATGTCTATTACTTCAGAACTTTTTTCTGGGTAAACTGATTTTGGTGATTCTTCTTTTGTATCTGAAAGCTGGTGCTTCTCGTATAGCCCATATAAATTTGATCAAAATGTGACTAGTCGTTTTTGAATTATCCTTAAAATAATACGTATTTACTTGACTTCGAATACTTTGATTATGTTCTCATTTTAATATATTGAAGTTGGTTGTACAATTTTTTTGTTTTACCACTTTTAAATAGGTGGATTGGTTAGCGCAGTGCCGACATCTTCGTAATATCCAGCAGGTTATGTGCACATCACCATTTTGTCTTTAAAAGGATTTGGTCTCTCCTTTGATTATTACTGAGGTGTGAAATATCTATTTATTTATTTACATACATAGGGCGGACTTAATGCCATGTGGCATTCTCTGCTAGTCAACCCTGGGTGCCAAAGACAATTGTTGGCAGGTGCGACCATTATACGTAAATAATTACACTAAAATATATACATACATTAATATATATATACACACATACACACATACACATACACTACATACATTAAAATATATATACATATGCAAAGTACATACATACACATTACATTTAAATATACAAACATATAGTATAAATATACATACAATAATACATACATATATATATATATATATATATATATATATATATATACATGCTTATAAACTTCGTAAATAAAAATCCAAATGAATGATATATATAATATGATGTTCGAATAATATATAATGAAATAAATATTGGAAGAAAAAAAGAAGAAAAGAAAGACAAAATTAAGGAAAATAACGTTAATTAGTAGTTTCCTTCAGGTAATGTTCTCGGAGAAGAACTTTGAAAACTTTTTTATTAGTGGCATTCTTAATATCGTTGGGGAGAGTGTTCCAAAGTTGTATAGCTTGTAACGTAAAAGACGACCTAAAAAAATTTGACTTATGCTGTGGAAACCTTAACCTCAGACGGTTTGACTGTCGGGATGTTCGACCGTCGATCGGATGAAAAAAATGAAAATTATCCTTAAGATAACAAGGCGATCTTGGATCGTTTAAAATTGAATAAAGTACAAGTAAAATTCTAGAGCATCGCCTTTGACGTATAGGTAGCCATTTAAGCTTTGAACGATAGGATGATATGTGGTCATACTTACGTAAACCAAAAATAAACATTATGGAATTATTAAGAAGGCGCTCCAACTTGTTTAGAAGATTTTCTGATAGATCCGGGTAACATACGTCGGCATAGGTAGAATAAGGGAATGTACCAGCGTAAGCTTGGTTTTGAAAGGTAGGAAATTTTTAAGACGATAAAGGGAACGCAAGGTAGCAACAACTTTACGACTAACTTCAGAGATCTGCAATTTCCAGGTCATAGTTTTATCCATGAACAGACCAAGATTTTTTATACAATCACAATATGGAATCAAACTTCCATTATAAATTACGGGAGAGAGATTTCCATAATCAACCTTAGCCAATAATTGCGAACTTCCGAATATTATAACTTTGCATTTGGCAGGATTAACAGAAACGCCATATTTACATGACCATTCTCTTATGGCTTCCAGGTTATCATTTAATTTGTGTATTACAAAGTTAAGATTATTTAAGCTTGACTGTACATAGAGCTGAAGGTCATCCGCATACAGATGGTACGAACAATCTAGAACTGAGGAGATAGAATTTATAAATAAGGGAAACATAATAGGAGAAAGTATTCCGCCTTGCGGCACACCAGATTCAATTTCAGCCCACGCAGAAAACCGCTGACCTGAGCGAACCTATTGCTGGCGACCACGAATATAAGAAGAAAACCATTCCAAGGCTGGGGATGAAAATTTAAGGTGTTTAAAGATGCATAGGAGGATACTATGATCCACTGTGTTGAAAGCGTTTGAAAAGTCAATAAGCACCACCACTGTTAATTTTTGCTCACCTAAGCCCTTTCTTACATCGTCTGTGACTTTGATAAGCGAAGTGGTAGTACTGTGACCTGAGCGAAACACCGATTGAAATTCATTCAACAGGTTATATTTTGCAGCGAATAGAGATATTTGCTTAAAAACACAGGCTTCCAGAACTTTGAGAGGTATGGGAGAATTGAAATAGGACGAAAATGGTTAGGGAAAACAGGATTAGGTATTTTAGGAAGAGGTCTTACAAAAGCCTTTTTCCATGCAGAAGGGTATTGACCTGAGTCCAGAGAATAATTTATAATGTGTGTTATAGCTGGAATAAGGTACTCAAGAATCATAGACACTATTTGCTTACTAATTTCATCAAAACCCACAGCCTTGGATTTAATGGCTAACAGAGCTTTTTTAATTTCATCCTGAGTAGCAGGGGAGAAACAAAAGTCCGAAGAGGCTTCATTGATTCTATAGAAGCAATAGTTTGAGAACGGACTTGAGGGTCCAATGAAGTAATAGAAACAAAGTGACGATTGATGTCATCCAAATTGAGAGAGGCGCCATATTCCGGAGAATTAGATTTATTAATTCCGATAGACTTCAGGAATTTCCACAAATCAGTGGGCGAAGAATTAGTTATTTTGTCATGAATGTAGCGGCGTTTAGCATTTCGTACCACCTGATTGCATCTGTTTTTCCCTAATATCTGTTTTTCCCTAACCTAGCTTATAATATTCAGATAATATTTCACTGTAGTCTTAGGAACTTCCTTAAGTAGCTGAAAACAGTACTTTGGACATGGATATCTTTTAAATTGGAGGTAGTAATCGCCATGTTTACAGGTGATTAAACGATAACAGTAGCATTTAAGACACTATTTCTGTCAAAACATGGGAATTCTAAAAGCAGCAATTTTTCCGATAATCCTTTTGTCACTTGTCGGAAAACTTTATATAGAAAAACTTTATACGACAACAAAAATTGCAAATCTTAACGTGTTTTAGGTCACTTACTCGTTTCTGTACTATATACGTATATAACTTTAAAAAAATTAAATAATGTCTTTTTTTATTATGACGGCAGATAATCTGTAAAAATGGGATTATTCAGAAAGATTTTCCACCGTTAGTCTATAGCCCTAGTACGTTAATTAACAAAGGTGTACTCTACCTTGTGTAGAGTTTTCTTACACCGCCAGCAGATACGAGTAGCTTCACTGGTAACTTTGAGAGTAGTTACGTTTTAACTGGGCTATTTTGTTAAAATAATGAAAATAAAATTTAAATGTCAATTAACTTTCAGGTCTACAGATGTTTAAAGACGTGAAAAACTATCGAGTAATTTGCTGTGGAGGAGATGGCACTGTTGGCTGGGTTCTAGAAACGATGGGTAAAAGAATTATTTTCTTATATTATGCAAAATAATTACTTACTATAGTAAAATATTTAATTTACATTGGAATATAACAAACATTTCAACCAAAAATAAAACAGCAATTTTTTAGTAGCAAATGCCGACTATTGGTCAAGTATTTAGCAACGGATTCGTCAAAAAAAAAATCTCATCCATAGGTTTCGTAGACTGGTTATGAGGGAAGTATTACCAGTAAGCGGGTATCGACTTTCCACTCACCAACTCACCTAATCTAATGAGTAAAAAGTAGTAAGGATATCCTTCGAGTAATGCATGTCAGCGGGCGCACTATTTGTAGCTAGGACATTACTTATTTTCCCTCCTTTTACTCGTAGATTGAGGTTCTCTCGTTTGGAAAAGGTTCGTAGAAACCACTTCTTACCTTAAAAGTTACATTTATCATCAGACCCAATAATTGTCTAATAGTCTATCACCATTGACCAGCAAAAGAATGAAGTTTTATTATTGTAAAAACTTAAACAATCTTACCAAAAGTAAAAGTAGTTCAAAAATTAATTCGCTATTTTCGAACCTCAGCCATAGAAAATCTACATCTCATCTTATCGTATAAGTGTTAATTTTAGTATAGCTGGGCTATCATATGTGAGCTAGATAATAAAAAACTAGACTATTCTTAATGTTCGTAGGCTAAGTTTCGTTGGAGTTTAACCCTTAAGAATCGATTTTCATAGAGATCCTGCGGTACACAAATAAGATGAAAATCGAAATCGAGCTTTAACAAAAGGTGAAGTCGTTATTTTGCCCCTCCGCGTACACATTCGCGCATCTTAAACTGTTCGCGTATAAATATGGCGGTAATGGTTAATACTGATAAGTTTAATGGTAAAAGATAATAAGCTTTTTTAAGACACAAAGATACTAAGTTGATATTATTAGGTATGTGCTAGTTTCAACGAATTAAATTATTTCTTTTTGTTAGCATAAACTACTAACATAACATTTAAAAAAAATATATCTTTCATTATTTCGTTATAAATAAGACAATAAACAATAAATTGTGAATACATAATTAGTACAAAATGGTCCCATAGCTACGCAGTATATTCCAATCGCCCCTGGAATACTGGTTTTTTTTTAAGTGCTTTCTTTCACATCTACTTAAAGAACCTTTTTTACTAGTATACAATTAAAATAATAATTGTTTTTATAGACAAAGTGCCCATGGAGACGCAGCCAGCTGTTGGAGTGATTCCGCTTGGCACTGGCAACGATTTGGCACGGTGTTTACGATGGGGAGGAGGGTAAGCCATACAATTTAAAATCGTAGCGAGGTGATTTGAATTTATTATAATATATAATATAATTTGAAAGGACCGATAATAAAATCTAATATAAAGGAAACTTAATTAAAATTAAATTTAAGGAAAGTCACAATATACATTTATTAAAACCTAAACAACTAACGTAACAATCGTATTTTTTCGTGGGGGGTCGGCTTGACCGGGGAAGCACCATGCTCAAAATACCAGCGTTAAACTACAGATTAATGTTGCTGTACTTCGTACGATGAGTGTAGAGAACTGGAGTCTCTTTTTACTGGTAACGAGGCATCTATCATAGTCTTCAAGGGTAAGAATTTATCCAAATTTTGATTTTCAATTGAGGACAAATGTAGATGTCAATGAGCCATAGCTTCGCTTAACGTATGCTCGTTGGTCACTCTACACCAAAAATTTTACTAATAAAATTGTATTTATAAAGAGTATATTCTACTACATGGTCTTATTACTTAATGTTGCCACAATTTCCTTTGTTCTGTATTTTGTAGATTTTCCAATATTTGCTTTTATAAAACTTATTTCATAATAATATAAAATTGAAAATTTTAAAAACCCCCGAAACTAAAAGAGCTGATGATCTTCAAACGGCTGAAAAGATTTTCTTGAATCATAGCTCTCATCTATGATAATCAATCTAAGTAATAAAATCTATAATCTAAGTCGGTTCATCCGTTTGGGAGCTACGATGCCATAGACAGACACACAGACCTTTTTTGTTACACGTTAAACATGTAACAAAAAAGTTTAAAATAATTTATACTTGCCATTTGCACTTGATGAAACTTAATCTTCATTTTTGTGATATAAGATGACATGTACTTTTTTGACTTATATTGGTTGTATTTGCTATTTTTCATTAGCTACGAGGGAGAATCGATACACAAGATCCTCGACAAAATTGCCCGCGCAAGTACCGTAATGATGGACCGATGGCAAATCTACGTTGAAAACACCAATGCCGATGTAAGTTTTTTTTTCTGCACAGGGACTAGCGATCGCTATAAATATCACAGTACGCAAGTAACTCGGGTTCAATATCCGTCAGCACCAATTAAATTATTTAATTGCAATGTCAAGTGCTGACTTACCACGTACTCGGTGGTATAGGAAAACATCGTGGATGATCTGCAAGTCTGAGAAATTAAAAAAAATATTTCGAAAACATTTGAAATCCACCATATTACAGTTAATATAATAGAATAGAATATTAAGGTAATAGACAAATCGGCAACGTGGTCTTGTTCTCGTAATTAGAAATCCAGCGTTATTAATTGTAGAAACAATTTACAGTCAACTTTTAACTTATGAATCTTATCATCGCTTTCTTTATCGTTCACAACGTGAATCGTTATGTTGTAAATTGATCCCAACCAACTGCTTGACAATTTCAAGTTCGTTAAATGTGAGTATGCTAGTAGTGTTGCCACATGCTATAATAATAATCATTATACAACGAATTTACTTTCATTCCAGTGTGAACAGCTTCAGATGCCAAATTCGGGGCCTCATCCCACTTCCGTCCCATACAACATTATCAACAATTACTTTTCTGTAGGGGTGGTAAGTTATTCATTAAGGTTATTTTAATGTTTACTGCAATAAACACGTGAGTATTAATGACTCTGTAGCGTACTAAATGATTAGCTGCAACTTTACGAGTTGCGGACTCAATATCAGAACGAAACAAGTTTTTGTATGGCCTACAAGCAACTACCTCGAGTCTAAATGCTTATTCATTATTATCATCTTCATTACACCCTATCAATAGTTTACTACTGAACATAGACCTCCTCCATAGATTACTTGAATTGCTTGAAGTTCTAGTTGTAGTTGAATATGACTACCACCAGCGAGTTTTCCGGACCGATACTACTTAGAGGACCTTCAAAAAAAGAGCCTAATCCTTTTAAAAGGCCGGCAAAGCATTTGCTATTCCGTGTTGCGGTCTTTCATAGGTGGCGGAAGTTACTTACCACTTATCATCAGGTGAGCCGCGTGCTCGTTTGCTCCATATTATATAAAATAAATGAATATGGCGCTGCCCATCTCCTTGTTCGTTTTCCTCTGCCGTCTCTTATGACATCTACGGGACAACATGGGCTAGTGGATATTCTTATACCACCACTACACGGCCATCACCATGGTATATTTAACAATATTACTTTTGGTTAATTTCTTGATTTAAAATGATAATCATATACAGGCAGAAACATTCAAAATTCTGCGACGATTTCCCTTTTCAATATTCTCTTCATGCTAACAAGAGCATCAACAGCGCCCTCGAGCGTTGTATTTTTGTTAGAACCACTAAGCATATCCGTCAGCAGCGCTGATCGAATAATTTGGAAACTACGATCGCATGATCAATTTGGAAATGAATGAAGTTACAGATTGATCAAAATGAAACGTAGAACTGACAAGATTCGTTAATAAATTCTCATGGTCGTTTTTTAAACACCAATGATCGCCTAGTAGTCGAAATTCGACAGTAAATATGTAGATGAGCATTAAAAAAATTACATTTTTTAAGTTTGTATAATAAGCAACCTATATGTTTTCATTTTCACATTAAATCACAGGTATCTCATATACAAAATATATAAAATAAACGCCTTTTGCCATGACACTGCACAGACTGTTAAAAAGAAACATTTAAAATCACGCAAAATTTAGTAGTATAGTTCATAAAAGGTAGCTTGATCTCTGCGACAGCTGTCAGTAAAAATCACGCCTATGAAGTACTGAATTTCTTAGTAGTACAGACACACCTGGGCATGCCGACCTAATTAGTGCATGCCCATAAAGTATGACATTGACAGGTACTGTCTGTACTACTAAGAAATTCAGTACTTCATAGGCGTGATTTTTACGAGTACTGACAGCTGTCGCAGAGATCAAGCTATCTTTTATGAACTATAATTACTTGTTGGCAACATTTTAATAATTTTTTTATTAAGTGGCTTTACGGCTCTGGCTTCTAGCCCTTCTGAGCCTGTCACTTCTTTCGGAATTTTCATTTTTATATTCTTTTTCTTTACAATATGTTGATGCGTCACATTGCAAAGCCCTTGGGAGATTTTGATGACAACTCAACCCAGCGGACAGTTGATAACGAAAGCCACTCAAGTTTATGTGGCGAGCAAGCGATCAAATAACTTGAGGTTTATATCGACATCAAAGCATGTTACGTCGTTTTCTCTAATAGTTTACACGCGCGGACACTTAATTCACAAAATCGCATCACTTTTACGAATTAAACTCCACTTTAAACCATTATTTAAGCGACAAAACAGGAGCGACCATTCGTCTACGGCCAAGTTCCCGCAAAAACTCCGCAACCTTTTTAAAATTTGTTGTCAATATAGTTTACTTTGTGCAACTGTTTGACCACAGACTACTATGTGTTTACTATGTGTTATGTGCTATAAACATAAACAAACGACAGACATAATATGTGATTAGCATTGGCATTATGAAGATATACAAATTTTTTTTATTTAATTTAAGATATTTGTAACACATATAAGGCATATAGGAGTGTAAAACGCTAATATTTGATTAGCGTTTTGTACTCCTCCGAATTAACTTTAAACTATACCATATCTCATGATCCTCCGTGCGTGCAATATCCTTAAAAAGGAGTACAAATATTAGATATAATATGTAGACGTATACGTGATGTGACGTCACAAAACTTAACCGTCTCCAAGTGACCAGTTCTGTTGTTCCAGGATGCGGCTATCTGCGTGAAATTTCACACGGAAAGAGAACGAAACCCGGACAAGTTCAGCTCGCGCATGAAGAACAAGCTGTGGTACTTCGAGTTCGCGACTTCTGAACAGTTCGCCGCCAGCTGCAAAAACTTGCACGAACACATTGATCTTGTGGTAATAATACGTTTTATCGATTAACCAGGATATACAGACAAACGACAGAACGGTAAATTTTTTAAAAATGATGATTCATGTCTTAATGGCATGCAAATTATAGAAAGACACTACAATATGTATATATAATAGCGTATATAAGAAAATAGTTGTCTAACGTCGTTTCTTTTCGGCAGTCTTCGACACGGTGCATAGATTACTGACACACGGTGTTTGTGTGCGTACAACTAGACGTATTGTACGACTATACGAAGCTCGCACGAATCGAGACGAGCTGCTCCGAAATCGGACGAATACATAAGCAGCTGTTTATGAAAAAGTATATAGGTGTATAGGTATTTATGTACAACAGTGAATAGCTGTACTTGTAAAATTTGTGTATAAAAAGTTTTGAATATGAATGAACAAAGTGCATTATTAATGAAGAAAGTCACGAAAAAAATAGTGAAAGAAAATGAGTGAGTACTCTATATACATACATTTTATTATTATCACAAATGCAGTATTAATTTTGAATTGAAAATATAATACTGCTATAAAGATAACCTAAATTTTTGATTAAAACTACTTTTACGGATTTTATCACGTTTTATTTATATTAATTTTAATACCCGACGTTTCGGGTGCTTTCCAGCACCCATGGTCACGGGGGACTGAGGTGACTGACGTCCCGATGTCAAAGTTAACTCGGAGTACCTTCAGCTTTTTAATTATTGTTTTTGGTCCGATCCACGCAGAATGAACTAACTGTATTTTGAAGTCCTGCAGTGGTATGCTTGGGTTTAGTTTTAATTTTATTAATTATAGGATCCCAAGCAAGTGGTAGTACCCAGCCTCCTTCTCTATTGAAATTAGGATGTTTTTTAATTTCAATAGCCTCACGTATCATCCTTGGTAGGAATCGATGTTCTTTCGCGAGGATTTGTGGTCTATCAAATCTGATGTAATGGTTGGGGCCATCTAGAATATGATCGCAAACTGCAGACTTATCGGAAAGTTGATGCTTCACGTCAGCTATGTGTTCCTTTACGCGGGTTCTGATTGATCTCTTTGTTTGCCCTATATATGAGAGACCACAATCACAATCAAGCTTGTACACTCCTGCATCTTGTAATATGACACTTGACGGATGGTAAGAACTGACTAATCTTCTTCGGCGGCTTGTAAAATGTTCTAATAGAAGCTCGCTTCAAGATGTAGCCAATCTTGTCTGTGACACCTCTGACATATGGTAGTATAGCAGGCACACGTTCGACTGTGGCCGGCTTCACTCGGTCACTGTGACGGAGGCGCGGGACCCGAAGCTTGTTGTCGTGCAAAACCTGCTTGACGTGCTGAAGCTCGGCGGCCAAGGTGTTTGCTGTCACAGATCCCTCGTGCTCTCTGAAACAAAGATTTGCCCACGGTAGCAAACTGTGAAGGATGATGGTGAGATTCACCATTTAAGTATCGGTTTGTATGGATCTTTTTTCTATACACAGTATGACCTATGGTGTTGTTAGGATTTCGGATGACTAACACATCTAGGAAAGCTAAGGAATTATTTGCCTCTAACTCCATAGTAAATTGAATTTTAGGGTTTATGGAATTAAGATGTTCTAAAAATGCAGTTACTTTGTCTGATGGTAAAATTGTGAAAGTATCGTCTACGTACCGCTTGTAGAACCTTGGGGTAACAGGTGCAGTAAGGAGGGCTTTCTCCTCAAAGTCTTCCATGAATATATCGGCGACAATGGGATATACAGGTGAGCCCATGGCAACACCATCTACTTGCTTGTAAAACTCTTCCTTCCACAATAGATAACCAGATGTAAGGCAATGTCTTAGTAGCACTGCATATTCTGGTGGCATGTTATTTTCATCTAGTTTCCTAGTTATAATTAAGATGCAGTCTTCAACAGGTAGGCATGTAAATAGAAACTGAACATTAAAACTGACCATGGTTTCATTGTCAGCAAGACGTAGGTCTTCTATCTCACTGACAAAATGGTATGAATCCTTAGTATGTGCTCTTGTGTGTCCTCTGAGTGGTGATAATATTTTGGCTAAGTGATGAGCCAATCTGTACGTTGGCGAATCGATTTGACTCACTATTGGACGTAATGGAGCGTTAGGTTTGTGTATTTCGAAATCCTAACAACACCATAGGTCATACTGTGTAAAGAAAAAGACCCATACAAACCGATACTTAAATGTTGAATCTCACCATCATCCTTCACAGTTAGCTACCGTGGGCAAATCTTTGTTTCAGAGAGCACGAGGGATCTGTGACAGCAAACACCTGGCCGCCGAGCTTCAGCACGTCAAGCAGGTTCTGCACGACAACAAGCTTCGGGTCCCTCACAGTGACTGAGTGAAGCCGGCCACAGTCGAGCGTGTGCCTGCTATACTACCATATGTCAGAGGTGTCACAGACAAGATTGGCTACATCTTGAAGCGAGCTTCTATTAGAACATTCTACAAGCCGCCGAAGAAGATTAGTCAGTTCTTACCATCCGTCAAGTATCATATTCCTCTACAAGATGCAGGAGTGTACAAGCTTGATTGTGATTGTAGTCTCTCATATATAGGGCAAACAAAGAGATCAATCAGAACCCGCGTAAAAGAACACATAGCTGACGTGAAGCATCAACGTTCCGGGAAGTCTGCAGTTTGCGATCATATTCTAGATGGCCCCAACTATTACATCAGATTTGATAGACCACAAATCCTCGCGAAAGAACATCGATTCCTACCAAGGATGATACGTGAGGCTATTGAAATTAAAAAACATCCTAATTTCAATAGAGAAGGAGGCTGGGTACTACCACCTGCTTGGGATCCTATAATTAATAAAATTAAAACTAAACCCAAGCATACCACTGCAAGACTTCAAAATACAGTTAGTTCATTCTGCGTAGATCGGACCAAAAACAATAATTAAAAAGCTGAAGGTACTCCGGGTTAACTTTGACATCGGGACGTCAGTCACCTCAGTCCCCCGTGACCATGGGTGCTGGAAAGCACCCGAAACGTCGGGTATTAAAATTAATATAAATAAAACGCGATAAAATCCGTAAAAGTAGTTTTAATCAATGTATAGTGTTCGCGTAAATATAAGAAATCATTATGTAAACCAGTACGGACTGGAAATAGCAAATAAAATACGCCGATTAGAAGATCTAAAGACCAAGCGCGCAAGATACATAACAGCTTTAAATTTCTTGAAGAGATGCAGAGATCATAATCTCATTCCTACGTGTCAAGATATCTACTAAAAAAGACATTCGAGGAAGCGCTAAGATCTTAAATCAGGCGAGTAAAAAAGTTGTTAATAACGGTGATTCAGCAAAAATGTACCGATCTATGTTTCATAAACAAAACCATAGACAATTCGTCCAGTGAATTAAAGACAGTTTTATCGATATTTGATTATAAGAATTGCATGGAAACTTTAGATAAACGCGAAACAACTAAATACAATGAATGCAAAATAACTAACAACTAAATCAAATGTCCAACATCAATGGCAACGTAAGAACGAAACGATCACAGACACGAATAATAAACAAGGCGTGGTCTATAACCTGTCAAAACAAACTCTGGACGACACCACATTAAAAGTTTTAGGAAGAGGTTTTAATTACGTAATTACACCGCGAAGAATCCCGTATGAAGACATTATCTGTAGTGATGAGGATTGTCTGTATAAAAATAATATTGGTAATGAAGATTTAGAGGCCATACGCCAAGACATTTCGTCTATGTTACGTCGAAGTACAGCGCCGAAATCAAATCTTCCCAAAAATTAATTTAACGCGTTAAAAACCTTACGCAACAGACCAGAGCTTACGATTCTCCGCGCAGATAAATGAAATGCTATGGTTGTAATGAATACGTTGGATTACAATTTTAAAATACAACAACTTTTGTCGGATGAAAGTACATACTGTAAGGTCAAAACAGACCCTACAACTAATACGCTTAAAACAACTAGCGATCTAATTAAGAAATACTCCGAGAAATTGAATCTAGACGTCAATTCGATAATACCTTCATGTGCAAAACCTCCCAAGTTGTATGGGTTACCAAAAAATACACAAACCTAACGCTCTATTACGCCATTCGCCAGCGTACAGATTGGCTCAACACTTAGCCAAAATATTATCACCACTCAGAGGACACACAAGAGCACATACTAAGGATTCATACCATTTTGTCAGTGAGATAAAAGACCTACGTCTTGCTGACAATGAAACCATGGTCAGTTTTGATGTTCAGTCTCTATTTACATGCCTACTTGTTGAAGACTGCATCTCAATTAAACTAGGAAACTAGATTAAAATAACATACATACATAAACACTCACTCCTGTCACCCAGAGGGGTAGGCAGAGACTACGGACTTCCATTTGGCACGATCCTGACATACCTCTTTCGCCTCCTTTACATCCATATATTAACGCATACATGATCGTCGGTTAAGGATACTTCTAACGTGGCCCCTTTTCAAAATATCGCCAATTTGGTCGATAAACTATTTTCTAGGGCGTCCCTTCCCGACTCGGCCGTTCACATCTGCCATATAAATTTGTTTTGTCAATCTTTCCTCATTCATTCTTTCTACATGACCAAACCACCGAAGCATCCCTTTCTTAATCCTGGTCACAACATCATCTTGCATACCACATTTATCTCTTATCACGCAATTTCTCACCCTGTCATTCAGATTCAACCCTAACATACTCCTTAAAGACCGCATTTCTACAGCATTTATTCTACTTTCGTGCTTCTTCTGCCACACCCAGCTTTCACTACCATACATTAAAGTGGGGACTAACACAGCATTATGAATTACCATACGTGCCTTTTTTGACACATTCTGGTTCTTCACAATAGAGTGTAGTGCCCCATTCACTCTATTCCCTGCATTTACTCGTCGTTCTATATCCCTATCATATCTACCATCCCTGCTAAATACACATCCCAAATACACAAACTCATCCACTTGCTCAATTAACT